AGGTCTACTTCAGTGAATGTAATGTTATTAAATGAAGTAATGAAAAAAATGATTGGGAAGTCGACATAAAAAAATTGCGTGGAACGGAGTAAATATTGAAATACATGTTAATAATTCCAACAGCTTTTGCACTTTCTCCTCTTTCTCCCTTTATTTATTCATTTATTTAGAGTAAAAGATAATTGATAGGCCCGTGTTTAGCAGCTGGATGGTGAAAGAAGTTAAGTTTCGGGGACACATGCAGTTCGATTCTTGCAGCTGTACGAATTGATTGCTTCGCTTTCGCGGTCGGTTCACATGGGTGGCCGGTGGCGAAGACAGCTAAAGTGTTACTTCGACTCATTTTCTAATCCCGGAAAACACATAGGCGTTTTTATCGTTTTCTGCATGTGTAATGAGAATGCGAGCCATTTCCCCTTGGCTAGAGCTCTCCGAAGTAATCGCCTCGTAGACAGATGGTGTGCTTTATCAAAATTAAATAATAAACTCCAACCCTACCCATAGTGAATACAGTGCAGTTAACCTTACAAAGTATTGCACAAAAGTATCCTTGCAAAAGCATGTACGCTGTGCCATAATACATTACCATAAGCATTCTTTTCAAGCATTGAAAAACTTCTGACTTTTGAAAACAAAAAGCAAATTCTAACGGTTCATTTTATGGAAGTTAACTGGAAAATAAATGCCAGTTTTTATGTTGAATTTCCGACCTAAAGAATAGTTATGAACTGTCTCGTACTTATTCCATGAAATACAGGGTATTTACTTTTGATACATCAGTTTTGAAAATGAAATAATTTTTCAGTTGCATTTAAATACAAGCATTTAGATTCAGAAATTCTATCCTGTTTCATTATATTTAATTATTAACTTTATAATGTAGCTTTATAAATTAATTGTTATCCAACGGTTTTATTTTTAAACTGAGTTTTTAATCTGTCTCATTTGATCAAATGTTAACGTAAGAAGCTAAAGCACTGTGAAATTCAGTAAATAAATATATAAATATAAATTACATCTTTATGGCAAAATTACAAAGATTACTTAAGTGCAAATTAATACGAGTATAAATGTGTAAAAAGCTCTTATATCATCATTTTTCTTCTTCTGCATGATTATTTTATTTCCAAGCTTAATATACTTTCATTTATGCTGATATAAATTAAGTGTATTGTAAAGAGAATAAATTACGTGATACAATTAATTATCTGATTACATTTGCTCCGCATTCTAAAATAAATTAATTTTAGAGCATTGTACAAATTCTGGTTTAAAACGCGTGGAGAAATTTTCTTTATTTAAAGGATCAAAATCATATGTGCACCGCTCATATCTTTCTAATCTCGTGTAAAGTCAAAATATTAGCATTTTTAAGACCTACTGTAATTCGGGCTTTTCACATAGAACATTGATTGCACGCGTCGCGCTTATGATTTGTTTTGTGATAACTTCCTTGCGAAATCTACATACTTAAACCCGTCTAGCATTTTTTCTATGGATTATAAACAAAATGCCAGCTTTTTTATTAGATATGATTCGCCCACTAAATAACATTTTTCTCACTGTTATCATCTTTCATATTTTTTTTTTCCTCCGAGCTGGATGTCTGGAGATTTTGTACTGATAATTGCCATTCCTATTCTGTTACATCCACTCAATCTCCAACTCTTATCTACACATTTTAAAATACCTCACACAAAAATCTAGGTTAATCACACAAACTGTACAAAAAATTTATGCAATTTTAAACTCTTATTGATGAAATATTTCTACGATTTTCACGTTATGTCAATAAAATTAATTACTTAATGCTTTAATTTCTTGGGTATCTCCTTTTACACTTCTTCCTTCTTTTCGAGCCCCGAAGCACAAGTATGGTAGCCGATTAAGCCGCCTTAATAGCGCGGAAACGGCGACCAATAACTAGGTACGGTATCCAATCTACCGCTGTCAGCTTGCATATGACCAGAATAAAAAACTGACCCTCTTGGCCTCCAGACGTTCTCATTTTGTCTGATGAACTGTGCTTCGAAGACTGATTACCAATTTTTATTAATTTTCATGAGGGTGAACTTCCGTTCGCTTTTGAGAATAAGGTCATAAATGGCGCTCTGGTTAGTTTAGTGATAAAACATGCAATCTTTGTTAATTCATTAACGAATTTTGGGAAACCTGTAGATAGAATTTTGGGTACCAGAACATTGTTTGGAAGAAAGTCGTATTTTATACATGATTAATAGTTCTTTCGTTTCGCCACCGACAGAATGAAGAATACTGGAGAGTAAGTGCATGGTGGGGGACACTGCTGACGAGGCTAAGTGAAAAATGATGACGACCGCTTAATTTGAGCACTAAAAAGTTGTTACTTGCAAGGTGTGGTGGTGTATTTGTTTATGGCAAGGAAAAGAGGGCTATCTGTGTAAGGGAAAAGACGCTTTCGTGGAGGACTTACTAAGGGAAACTGGCTCGTATACACGTTACACATGGCGAAAACCATAAAAACGCCCTTGCAGCCAGCCCGTTCACGGAATTCGAACCTCGTTACTTGCACGGAGGCAGTAATATTGCAGTGTGCTCATATTTGTAATGCGTATTAATTTCTTCAAACAAAATGACGCTATTGATGCTACATTACCAAGAGCTTCGCAAATTTGTAATATGTTACGTATTTCTGCTGATTCAATATATAATTTAGATACTTTTCACTGTTATGGTATATGTTAGGCATACAAATATAGTAAGAATAGGGTGCACATATAGGTACAGATGTAAAGATATGTAAAGATGAAATCTGTACAAATATTTGTACATTAAAAATCATGAAGCAAAAGAAATTAGAAATTAGTTTAATAAAAATGTGCATGAATGCCAGTTGTGATTATATTATACAGACACTAATGGCAAATTATACTGGCAAAATTGAAGACTTATATATTATTCACTGAAACTAATTACAAACATATGAAATGAATGCTGAACTCAGAGAATTGTATTACCTTAGATGATGTTATGTTAGGTACTAAAGGATTTAAATAAATACAATAAAATATGTGTGCGCACTGATAACGTATGTTCCGCAAATCAGTCTGCACACATAATTTGTTATATCTGTGCAGACTGATTTAAGAAGCGTACAATATTATACAAACATTACGTAACAATATGTACATTTTAAATGAACATACATATGAACATGTGTTATTTAACAATCTATGCAACACGTAAATAGTCGAAAAGAGTACTAACTTATCTTCTATCAGATAAACTCTAAAGGATACCAAATGTTCTCAGCCAGCGGCATATTATTTTATATTTCTGTTCATTCTCTCCTCGTAATAAAACAATTTTAACAAACATAATTAGTGTAGTCATTGTTTTCTGCTATCTGGAATTATAAAAAGTTCAGCTTTGTTCAAACGAGGTTCACTTTAATTTCACTGCATGTGATTTATTATTTCTAATTAGTTCGCGAACAAACAAAATGGTACATATCTTAAAACCGAATAAGTTATCAGGTTTAAGCTAGGGCATTTTCTCCTTTTCAGATGAAATGCATGAAAAATGCAAGCGTATTTTCTTCCCATTTAACAGCTTGTTGCAAAGCAATCTATTTTCATATTGCTCACTCGATATACTTACTACATTCCCTTCAAAACGTTTTACACTTTTTCAAAGTTATTGAAACATCAGCCAGCTGTCATTAATTTTTAAAACAAGCTTTCTCTTCTGGACCTCAAAATTGTTATCACAAAAACTTCTTAAAGAACATTGTTAATATGCACATTATAAAAATTATACTAAGTAAGTAATATGTAATTCTATTGAGCTAAGAAAATTAATGACATGTTGATTTTAGTCATTTAATGAAGAGACATTTATTACACCTAACCTGAGTACTTTAAAAACTTGTGAAAAGGAATAAGAAGGTCTAATGAAATAAAAGAGTTTAGGTTAAGTAATTTGGGTATGGCAAAGCACAGAAAGTCTACCTGCTTAAAGGGATGAATGCCTTCGTCAGAGACTTTTAAGAGGAAACGGCTCGTATTCAATTTACTCCTGGGCAAAGCCACAAAAATCAACCAAGCCTGGATTTGAACACAGTGGGAACTATCAGTATTCCACGACTCGGCCACTGGTTGGGTTAAAAAAAAAAAAAAAAAAAAAAAAAAAAAAAAAAAAAAAGAGTAAATTCCGTTTAGCTACCCATAATTTCTCCAGAGAAAGGTAAAGTAGCCTGAAAGCTATTTTTGTCTTAACAATAAGGCTGAAATTTTTCCTCTAGCTAGACAAAAAATGCGTAACAAAATTGATGCGCTTAAAAAACCCTAACATATAGTTTTGAATCACCCTGTATATTAAACATAGACAGAATGAACACTTTTAACGGACATTAAAGCAGTGAAAATGTAATTTATTTCAAAATAGGACAAATTGGGCATTGTTTTTAATAGAACGAAATGTACTGAGAATTATGAAATTTGAATAACATACACAAAAAGTTGTCGCCACGTGGAATTTAAAAGTTAAGATCATTAAGATTAGGCAAAAAACTAGCAAGAAGATGTACCTTTTATTTAAAGGTTAACCATTATTGCCATCTTATAATTTCAAAAAAACTGATATTTATAAGGCCTTTCTTTGAGACATTTAACAATGAGTGGAGTACTCTAATTTTATTATAACATCGTTTAAATTATGTTCCCTTTAAAAGTGTTCAGAAATCTGTCACATGTAAAGACATTTTATTTGACTATTCAAAACAAATAAAAGAAAAAAGTGATAAAGAAATTATTTATCCTTACATTTAATTTTTTTTTTTTTTTTTTTTTTTGTTTAAATAGTAGATTTTCTCACTTTTAATTCTGATGTTTGGCAATTAAGTTTCTTTTTTTCATATGTGAGATATGAATTGCTTCTTACGAAATAGGTATATAAATGATGCTAAGCAATGTGATGAGTGTCACTGTAAATCTAAAATTTGCTGTGTATTACAATTTCAGGTCTTCCGCCTGGCTGTTCATCGTCGCCATCACCAGTGGCATAATAGCTCTTTCATTCTCTTACCCAGAAGGAGCTCCAAAAGAAACATGTGCAACATTCAGGCCAAACCACGACAATCATACACCTAAAACGAGTCCACACAATTATGAACTCAGTGCCAATCCTTCATCCGTGCAACAGGGCAGCACGACAAAAGGTATATATTAAGTATCACGCAATCAAAATTTACGAGCTCTTTAATAGTATAGATAGAACTAACAAAAAATTTTAAAAGGAAAGAAAACTTTCAAGACTTATATATTAGTCTCACATGAAGGCTGAAATGAAGATCTTTTCATGAGGCTGGACTAGAAACATACTAAGCCTAAAAAATGCAAATCCGACGAAATCTGATTATGCTTACTTCAAAGAAAATTGCGTTAAGAGTCAATATTTGATTAATAAACTTAGCTTCATTTTTAATGAATTTTAAATGTGTCTAGAGTATCTGCATGAGGAAGGATGATGCTTTATATAGAAATTTCTTTAAGAAGCTGGCTGGCAGTCAGGTTAGTCATGAAAAGAACGAAGAAAATGCTCGTGCAAGCCAAACCTTTAATTTCCAGAATAAAATCCTACCGAAATTACAAGTATATGACAGTTTTATTTGTTTGTCGTTCGCCTATAGTCCACAGCTTGAGTTCAATTCAAATTTCACATGGTAACAGAAAAAGTAGTCAAAAACTTTAAAAAACAAAAGACTAACTTTAAAATAAAGTAAACTTAGCGTTTTGTAGACATTTATTTTATATTTATGCAAAAATCAATACTGTAATAATTTTCTTGATAAACGCTTATGCGTCTATTTTTAGATTCATATACGAAATGCCAAACCAAAGGTAGCATAATTTATCCTCAAAGAGTATCATGCATCAAGATCAGCCGATAATGCATGAAGAAAACTTCGATCACTATAACACACTGTCAGTAATAATTTAATAATATTTTGCACTTTCAGGAATAATATGACAATACACGTTGGTGCGAAAAATGAAAGAATAATTAACAAAATCTTGCATATTTTAAAATGTATACATTAGAATATAGCAAAATTTGTTGAAAAATGTGCCACTTAAGTTTTACGTAATATATGTTTGACAAATTGCAAAAGTCCGCCAAAGCCCCAAGCATGGTAACTGTTTATATCGCGTCATGAATAGATGCGCAATGTTTAATGGGAACAATGGCAAGGCTGTGTGCTATGATTTCAGATCACTGTGTACTTGGCGAAAACTGCATTCTCATCATACACGCAACGATTTTTTCACATCAAACATAAAAGAATTTCACAAATTCGGCAACGCTCAAAGCTTCAGCATCGGGCATTTTGTCTTCATGAAGCTTTACCTATCATTAGGCTTATGGCCTCCACCCAGACGGGATAGTGGTTGGTGACACTGACTACCGTACTGAAAGTATCGAGTTTGAATCCAGAAGAAGGTATTGATGTTTGTAAATATATAGTGCCTGCGCGCTCAAAATGGGCGCAACTCAAAATTTACAGTGAGATGAAATCCTCTCGAGAGTTTGATAGTAGGAAACGAGTGGCGGGAGATCCTCCGACCGCTGCCCAGGGTGTGTTCTCCTGGAATTCCATCCGGGGTGGAAGCAAGGCCCAGTGATACTTAATTTGTTTACATGGATGTACAGGTGCTGGCTTTGCTTGAACCTGTATTTGTACTCTTTGATTTCCCTTCATGTAAATGTTCTTCGGGAATCAGAAGCTATATTACGTCTCTTGATTCTTCTATGAAGGTAACACACGCCCAGACGTTTCAGCTGCATGTACCACATTAAACTCATTCTTCTAGATGCAGATGTGAGAGTTAGGCAAACCATTTGCTTTTTCATATAATGTTCACTTTCATTCAAAGTACGATTTACACTAAAGCTCTGATTTATATTTCTCTGGCTGCTACGAGTTCCCAAGCAACTTGCTTTGTTGTTTATAACGGTTCTTAAGTACCGCTAATCTGATTGACGCCAAGTTTGACTTCAGGCTATCTAAATTTTCTTCCAAACGAACATCTCTATGTCTGAATTCGAGATATAACTTTTTGAATAGTATTAAGGTCTCAAGAAACACGAAAGGGACTGACCGGCTTCCAAACTCTAGATAAAATGCGAAGGCTGATATTCCTCTAAACTAATGTTTCCCAAAATGTGAGTCTCAACATGATTTTTTGTGGACTGAGAAGAGCTTGGAATCAAACTGGAAAAGAAACATACTAGTTTAAAATTTGAAAAAAGAAAAAAGGAAAAAAAAACTTTGTTTAGCGTTGAATATCGATTTTGAGGGAATCGCGCGCAGGATCCAGTTCTTCAAAAGCATAGCTATTTCGCGGATTTATCTCTGCAAATTATTTTATTCCTAAAGAAAAATTACATATGTCTGATCACCCTAGAAATCCACAGTTTTATTCAAAATATATTAAAGTTACTTTGTTTGCCTAAATTTAAACAACTATTTTGTTTAGTTACAGAACTATTAATATTTATTTATAATAGTTAATTAATTTATAAATAACCGTTAATTGTGGTGCATATTTAATTTTAATTATTTCAGTGTTGCATAATTTTTTTCAAGAGTTTCCTTTCTGTCGCTCGTTTTTTTCAGAGCAAATGTGTCGCTATAATTCGCAGCTATGTCTATTGCTAGGCTATAAGCTTAGAAAGCATTACGCTAAAGGATATCTTTGTGGCGTATGCTACAAATCCGGAAAAATGTTTAACTGTATGCAAGTAATCTTTCAAAATACGAAAAAAAAAACACGTTTAATTTAGTCACAATGTTTACATATTCTTCAACTTCTGTAATGTGCAGACATAAGTTTCTGACCTTGTCTCAGTCAGATTTGCATAACAGCCCTTTTCATCCCCTTTTAACCTAATAACCGTGTTCTTGATTAGATTCTCTCAGTCATCCTATAATTAACATACTAGAGTATATTACGTAACACTGTATTATATCTACTATTCTTGACCTTTATAAACCATTCTCAGGAATAAATAGCAAGTTAAGCTGGTATTGTGAACTTTTCATTAAGACTGCAATCAGATCAGTCAGTCGAATCTAAGCTTAGGCTCATCAATTGGTCACTCTAGTCGGATTGCTAAAACCTGCTAAGTAGAAGTTATCCCATGCCACCTGCCGGTTTTTGTAGCTCATTTAATCTTTTGACGGTCGACGTGCTGAACTCGCATCCCAGTTATGCTCAACTGTGGCCACAAAACAAAACAGCTTGCAGTACAAACTCACGATTGACAGATATCGGGCATATTTGGGAAGAAAGAGCTGCTTAATTTCGTAACCGCCGAAGAGTTAATGAAAGTAGACTACCAATCAACAAGAAATGTTCTCGGTTCGAGTTACAATTTGGAACCGCGACCATTTCATCGACAATGAAATTTTATAATTCACTTGTTTTCTGATAAATGAGTTTATATTCTTGGATAATTCATTACACTGATATCTAATGGGAAGTTGAAGAGTGGAAAATCACAAAGGGAAGTTGCAAGATACCTGTAGAGTGTTCAAATTTTGAATATGTGTAAGACCGAAGGTATATTTATTGCAAAATGGGATGAGGTTAATTTAATGTAACTGCCGTGCAGCATGGTGTTTAGAATTCTGCGTAGCTGCAGTGAGGAACAGTACTGAACTGGCACTGTCGTTTAGGGTCATTTGGGATACACAGTTTCAAGCTGAATATTAATCTTCGGGCTAACTATATACATTTCGTCCCAAAAGTTTATAGACTCAAGTAAATTACATGTTTAAGAAAAATAGAAATGTATAAACTTATCCAATTAAAATATGTTTATTTAAATCACACGTGCCTTGCATCTGAGCAAATATTTAACCCCCAAAAAAATCAATTTGTCTTTTGAAAACTATCAAAATAGAAAAAACTGCCTGTCCCAAAAGTTTCTAGACAAATGTAATTTTATGCAAACGGGGAGTAACAATGATGATGGGGAACGAGCCTTTTATATGAAAATGCCCTCATTCAAAACTTCAATTTAAAAAAGAAAAAAGATCATTCGAACTGCGTTTAAGTATGCCTAAATTTACGCAACTTTCTGACACTGATGTTAATAGGATTCCAAACTTTAAATTGCACTGTAGGTTTGTTAAAGAAATTTTGAAACTTCTGAATCGATCTGTAAGCATTATTTATCGTGTAATGTCTTGTAAGGCGCCACATCAGTCAAAATTACGTCCAGGAAGGCCCCGAATGATGGATAGTCGCAGCGATAGGCGAATGCAAAGAATGGCTTCGATACAGAAAAAATCGGTTAAGGAAACTACAAGGGCTTGTGGACTGCGAATATCCCAAGACACTATTCATAGGCAAATCGAGGAATCTGGTTATATGATTCACGTAAAAATGGCTCGATCATTACCTCTCTCAAAGCTTCACAAGCAAACGGGATTGCAGTGGGCCCGTAACCGTATGGCATATGATGACAAAACGGATCTTTATAATTTTCAGTGACTGAAAAAAAATGGTATTTAGATAGTCCTGACAGGTATTCATGTTACTGGCATCACTTACGAAAATAGCTCCGGAGCTATCACATTAGGAATAGGGGAGGAGGGTCTGTTATGGTGTAGGAAGCTTTCGGTTTTAACGGGTAAGTGGGTTTCACCTTTCTAGATGGTCGGCTAGATTAGTCTAAATACACAGAAACACTAACAGACCATCTTATGCCATTTTCAAAATACATTGGAGGATAGAATTGGGGATACCAGCATGACAATGCTCCCATGCATACTTCGAATCCTACAAAAAATTACTTAGACATAGAAAATGTCACTGTTCTTGAGTAGCCACCAATGAGCCGCGGTTTTAACCCAATCGAGTGGGGGGGGGTGCAATGTGTGGGGTATTACGTCCTAGAGAGTTTACGAGAAAGGCAGTTTTCTTTCGTGAATGCCTTCGAGAGTGCATGGCACAATGTGAATATTTAATTACGGCAAAGCCTCAAGGGCTATCTGCCTAAGAGGAGGGATGCCTTCGTGGAGGACTTTCTAAAGGAAACTGGCTCGTATACACGTTACACATGGGGAAAACCACGAAAACACCCATGCAGCCAGCCCGTTCGCGGGATTCGAACCTCGGACCGAACTACCAGTGTTCAGCGTCTTTACCGCTCGGCCGCTGGTGAGCCCCGCCACAATGTGGAACCAGAATTGTTACAGAACTTAGTTATCTCGATGGAGAAACGTGTATTCAACATCTTACGAAACCTGGGAGTGACTTTGAAGTATTAAGTAATTTGAAACTGGTCACAAGTTGTTAAAATGTTGATATTCTATAAACTTTTGGGACGCACATTCGTCTGCGTTTTTAGTTTTTTCTAAAACACAAATTGCTATTTTAGTTGAATATTTATTGGAATGCAAGTTGCTTGTGATGTAAATAAATAGATCTTTATTTGGTGTTTGTCTTCCTTTCCATTTTTCTAAAATACGTAATAACTTTTGATACACAGTGTATTAATAAACTTTTGATACACAGTGTATTGAAATGATCAATAACGTGCCGTGCGTTAGCTGTAACGCAAACGTATAAACAACATATGCAGCTATCTTTGTTGCAAATAAAATGAACTGGTATATTTTCGTGTATCATTTTAGAATTTTAAGGAATGATTCTGAAATTAAATACCTAGAAAAAACGTGGAACCCTACAACTTCCATTTCATTGATTCTCAACCTTTCTCACCCCATGCACCCCTTTCATCATTGCTAGAAGATCACTCCCCTTCCTTTTCAAAACTTAATAGATATATAAATATACATTTATTTAGATTATTTTCTATCCTGTTTTATAAAGTAAACAACAAAAAGTATAGAAAATGTTTGTTAAATACTAAAACTTGAATAAAAGGCGTTTTTATAGTCATAAAATAAAACTAAATACTTAACAGTTAAATAAAATTCAAACCACGTTCTCTCCGCCCCTGAAACTATGGAATTCCTCTAATTCCCCTTTGGTTGAAAGTTCCTGTTCTATCTACTCAGTGTACCCATAATTAAATGTTAATAACTCTCTAAGCTTTTTACTTTTCCTTTTATCAAATGTTATACAAAAGTTGTTAAGAAGTGATAATTCTGGAAAAAAAAAAAAAAAAAAAGAAGAAGAGAGAGAATACTTTTCGCATTCGGTGCAGCTAACAAGGTTTTCACACCTTACTCTAGAAGTATGCTTATGTACACATTGAAAAGTCTTGTTGCAGCTGTTTAATTCCCTCTGTGATTTTTTAGTGCATAATTATTGGAAAATATAATATATTTTTAGCGAGTACTTTTCTGAGAGTTAAATTAAAAAGAACCTAACACAAAAAGTTCCATTGTTATAAGAATAAAACATACTTTTTCTTCAGTTTTTAATATATTTTTTCATGTATTAACAACGTATTTTATAATATGTCTTTCCCTGCTTAATAATAACATCAACCCTCTGATGCCTGATTGGATAAGCTTACTGAATATAGGTTTGGTTCGATCTAGATTCAAATTTTGGCAAACGAGTTAGTTCCCTGGAGTTTCCGTGGTCTTCACCATGTAAACATGAGACAGTTTTTCATGGAATATATTCCATGACGACATCCCTCTCTACGGGAGATGGTGTTCGAGTGCATTACATTAATTAAGAAACTGCAATATCTCGCTTTTAAAAGAATGGCTTTTCACTGCGCATGTTTTAATACAGAGTTTTGCTGTTATTTCTACAAATAATGAAATACTTTTGCATGAAGTATTTTAAAAGCAGGTATATTTTTTATAAATGTATAATTTTGCTTAAATTTCAATAACATTCTGAAAATTCGAATTATATATTAAATTTTTTTACAGGGAAAATTATCATGATGACTTCATAAAGTAAATGCAAGTATACAAACATTAATGCGTAATTCCAAAAATATTTTATGATTATTTTTGAAAATTAAGAGTAGTAAAAATGGTAATCTTTTGAATCGTAAATACTATATCAAAAATAAGTATACTGAAAAGTCATCAGATCAGATTAAAATTTCGCTTTTTTAACAGTTACTCTTCAAGGGAAAGGCGGAGAGACATTCAAGGGCTTTTTCATTCAAGGGCAAGATGAAGTTACTAAGCGACCTGTTGGAAAATTTAGAAGACAAGGAGATGCAAACACTGTAGATTGTAGCGGAACTGCTGTAAGAAAACGTTCATAATATGGATAAAATCCTTTTTCCCCATTGATTGTTTTGCCATTTCTGCTAAATAACATTTTTTTTTTTTTTTTTTTTTTTTTTTTTTTTTTTTTTTTTTTTTTTTTTTTTTTTTTTTTTTTTTTTTTTTCAGACTTCAATAACTCACGTTAATCCTAAAGACAAGAGCTCTGTTAGCGTTGTGTGGGAAGCTCCAGCTTCTTATACGGGAAAAGTAATCTTCAGGTAATTATACATTTTCCTTTATGTGCCTCATTGCATTGCGTTTATGAAAAAATTCTCTTCTAAATTTAAAACGCATGTACAGTTTGCAAGCAAAAATTACTCCTTTGAAAATAATGAAATCGCGTTTATTACTCAAAATATTGCAAAATAAATGCAGTTTTCAAGAAATGACAGCTAACCTTAAAAAAGCGCTCCGAAAGTATAGTTCGTAGATGATACCGTGTACACCAAAAGAGAGTTTTACTTTTATTATCTAAATTCAAATTACTGTTAAATAATATAAAATTTACTTCGCAATACTGATACTTCAAAGTAACTTGAGGAATGTGTTATTTAACAATAACACGATTTTTTCCTATTGTATAGGCGCAGAGGACTGCAAAGTTATCTCTCACTTTCTTGCCCAAAGTATATTTGGACAGGGGTTCTGTTAGATCAGAACTGTTAAAAACAAGGGAAACGTATGTGCAATGAATTCCTAAACCAGTTGCTTATTTAGTAGAGAGTGCTTATAAACATTTCACTCGCGGATCAAATGCAAAATTGGCATACAATTTCTACTGCTACTAACTGGTAATTATGCCAAGGTTTTAGGGTACCTTGAATAGTTTATAAAATTTAACTTAATTCTCCGATGTTCGCAAGTGCGTAAAAATTCTGCCGATATCGATATCATGATATAATTATTATGTTATCACTTGGCAACGGCAGCGTAAACGATTTTTTGGTACATGTAATTTCGATGGAGTTTGGTTTAAACACGCTGCATAATGTAGTGCAAAATTAGTTATTAGTATTAATGCTTTCCTTCTGATGCACTTTTATCCCCCATATTCCTCCGAAACTTTAGCAAATATCCTCATAAATCGTAATGCTGATGATATTCTATAGATTTTTTTTCTTTTCCCTTATGTTAAAATTACTACTCTTTACATTGAAAAACAACAGATGTAGATAATTGCTCTATTAAAAAGAATTTACAGGGATTTAAAATTAAATTATTTATTTTAGACACATGCATACGTATACATGAGTGTGTGTGCTGTGTACATGTACGTATTTATATACATTCATATACATGTATTATACAGATATATATTCATGCGTGGGTTTTGTTCTTCCTGTTTATTCATGTTAAAGTAATCCCTGAGATTCGCCTGCGCAAGGGCGAAAAGACTTAACCACTTGCAAAAAAAAAAAAAAAAAAAAAAAAAAAAAAAGGGAGGTAGTAAGTTTTGCTGCGATGTTTATTTCATGTTTTTGTTAAAATCTTGCCACAATCTCTCGTTTTTAAATACTCCATGACATACAAGCAACCGAAAAGCACAAAAAAGAAGGTTCAGAAGGTTTCTAGTAAATATTAAAGGAAGTATAAAGTATTTCTCTCGCCTTCTTAGAATGCCTTCGTGGTGTAGTGGTCAGCACGCTCGACGCGTATTCCAGAGGCCCGTGGTTCGAGTTCTGGTGAGGGCATTGCTCATTTTGAACATCTCCTGCTTCCAAAAAATGCCTAATGTTTCTACAGAAGAATATCAGTATTTACATGAGAGGAGAACTCATATTAGGAACATTCCTTTTCACTCTAAAGTGGGAACCGAACATTCCTTGCACGCTTTTAAAAGAGATTTACTATCGGTAGGTGAATTGTATATGTATATACACGTATAGTTAAAATGAAAAGGCACAAATATTATACAAATATGCATATACTTGTATAATGTCTGTACGGTATATTTTACTGCTTTAAAGAAGCATACATTGACCATGATGTAAGTGAAAATCTTTCTGCACAAATGTAAAAACTAAATCGGATCACTTGAATCGAAATCCGCTGAAGCGCTACGTTCGGAAAGAGATGATGCAGCGGCTCTCGCTTACGCATTGACCAACTTAGTTTAAGCAAACCGCTCGCCATTGTGCTATGTGTCTACCAGCTAATGGCCACTATTCTGTCACTTCGAGCACTCTAAATAACTGTACAGGTACAAGCGCAGGAAGATTGTATTAAACCTAACTTAAGCTGCTATATGTATGATTATATTAACTTATAGATATGTACTAATACACAAGTTAAAGAATTTTCTCTCGTTAAAAAGCGTGTATACATTTTTCGGGCGGACCTTGTACATAACGAACTACTAATTAAACAACAAATATGATAATTTCCTTTTCTTAACTTCGATCTTTAAAGAAAATGTTGCTTAAATAATAATTTGAAACAAATGAACAATCATTTTGTAAATTCATGTTCTTTATTACAGGTACAAAATCAATTAATATTGGTGAAATATTACAATCCAAAAGTATAAAATGAAAAAAATTTAGTTATAGAAAGAAATTTGGAACGATTAAAGATTTGATTATCGTGGGATAGAGAAGGAAAATTTTGCTTTTGAGAAAAAAATGTATTTTGTATTTTAAAGCCTGCAAATTTCTCAAACCTGAAGCATGAATAAGATAAATACAGTATAGCACTATATAGGTTACTCAAAAAATAAAGCTATAAAAGGCATCAAAATTGTTCGATGAAAAGTGTTTTCAACATAGAACATCCGAATAACATTATTATGTCAGTTTCAAAAGCTCCTTACATATTTCTCAGTGTAAAAAAAAAATTTACAATTACCTGAGAAGTTTTAAAATATTTCAAATATTATCTTCAAGTAATTAATTTTTATGATTGCAAGTTTGCATCGTTTTTATCAAGCATAAATAAACATAACTTATGACATCATTATTTAAACTGGGGATGGAGACGTCCTTTTTTTTAACTGTTTGAATACCGAAAACAGATTTAAACCTAGAAGTGGCGTTAGTAACTTAAAATAATTTTCATTTCCGTTGCAAATAAAATTCAAATATAAAAGTAATTGTAATATGATTACCGTAGCAATATCGTTAAACTCTCTGCTTTAAGTGAGAAACTTTATTCGATATTCAAAGGAAAACTAAGCTAAAATCTAAAGCATGATTGCATTAACACATTTCATTTATGTTTTTTTTTTTTTTTTTTTTTTTTTTTTTTTTTTTTTTTTTTTTTTTTTTTTTTTTTTTTTTTTTTTTTTTTTTTTTTTTTTTTTTTTTTTTTTTTTTTTTTTTTTTTTTTTTTTTTTTTTTTTTTTTTTTTGTTTTTTTTTTTTTTTTTTTTTTTTTTTTTTTTTTTTAACATCCCATCACATTAAAATTATTGTGTTATTGCGGATTTCTTCAGTTTCCGGGCATCAAAAGATTCTAAAATCTCTACTAATTGCGCTCAAAGTAAAAGATGGTGGACGATAATTGGTCACCACCAGGATTTGGCGACTGCGTTCCCTAATTCCGAGTCGCCCTTTAACAGGGAGAGCAAATAAGGCATTTTCTCTTTCTTTTCCACATACCTTCGTAATGCAACTGGAAGCACGCTCGACGCGTATTCGGGAGATCCGGAACTCGAATACGGGCGAGAGCATTGCACATTTTTCGTGTTCTTGCATAGATACAACTTAATGACTCTAAAAATTTTATTCTGCTCATCTGTAAAGAGTTAGCAGTTAAGATCTGTTCCAAATCGATAATAAGGCACAACAGCTTATAAAGTTATATTTATCTAGAGGATGCGATTATAAATGTAAGGTTGCCGTGAATCAAATTATTACAATAATATTAAAACGTAGTCTCTGCTTTTGCAAAATAATCTTTAATGTATTAATGATAAAATTTTGTTTACCAAAGGATATGTATTATAAAGAAAGCTTATTTTATATTTTACTTATTTATCTAGTTTATTCTTTTCCATTCTTTTAATCGAGTTTGAAAGTTTTTATCAGCATTTTGTGGTCACTTAATGTTTACAATTATGGAGTTTATTTATTTTAATGACAATGTTGCTTTTTCAGAGCTGCTGTGGTGAAAACCTTTGAAAACTTCTGGGACAATATTTATAGTCAACCCATAGTGATTAACTAAAAATTGCAGATGAGAAAAGAATCTTCAGCCAGCTACTGAAGAAGAAACTCGACGCTTCGTCATTAAATGTCTCGCAAAATTTTCAGTGCAAAACCTTTGTTGCAAAGAATGCTTGAAATACTATTTTTCTTATTTTTATACCATGAATTTTGTATTTCAAGTTTTTGATTATATATACTTGTTTTCTTGCGATCATTAAAGTTTTGATATGTAAAAATATTTTCTCAGTTATTTTTAAGCACAGCAAACATTAATCATTATATAAAATGTGAGAAAGCGATGTCAGTAGTGGCTTTTAAGATATTGAAAACACCTCAGCAACATCAGAATTCCAGCAACTTTTAAAAGTAACTCTAAGGAATTTTTCAAAGTAGTAGAATTTTTATATCAGTTCAAAAAATAACATGGTTTTAGAAAAGGGATAACAATTCTTTATAGGATTTTATATTTATTACTTCAAGTTGAAAAAAATATACCTTTTTCACTCATAATTATTTTTAAGATACCTCTAGTACTTTAAAAACCTAAAATTATTTTACCTAAAAAAATAACTAATATTTCAATGCTTGTACAGTTTATATAGGTCTAGTGCGCTCAGGATGCGCAGAAGCAAAAATCTCTCTTTACAGAAAGCTGATATGTCAGTTCATGAAGGTTACTGTTATTTTAAATATAAGTTTGAATTGGTTACTTTATTTTAATTACGGCAAAAACTCGAGGGCTATCTGCTTAAGGGGAGGAGTGCCTTCTTGGAGGACTTTCTAAGGGAAATTGGCTCGTATACACGCTACACATGGAGAAAACCGCGAAAACTTTCATGCAGCCAGCCCATTCGCGGAATTTGAACCTTGGGACCTCACTTAACAGTGTTCAGCGACTTCACCGCTCGGCCACTGGTAGGCCTTTAAATATAAATACATTTATTGTCTCTAAGTTTCCATTATACATTTCGACTATTACGACAGAAATGTAAAATTTATTTACGTGTTTTCACAGTAGAATATTTTTTAAATTGTGTTACCATTTATCCAGTAAGATATTAACAAATTATCTATTTCTTACACTTGTTCCTTCTTTTATGTGCAACAACTCCGTCAAAGCCCATTTAGATTGTGGAATCACGGGCAGAGAAAAACCTTTCTTTAATTGACCAAGAATTTTACTGGATTTTGATTTCATTGCCGCCTGGGTAACGACACCCATTTCATTATAATTAGTAAGAATTTTGAAGGACAACCGAATTAAATATCCTGATTTTGATAAGACCAAAATACCTTTTTATACCTATTTTAACTACACCTTCGTCATCTAACTGCTAAATAGAATGATATGGCTATCTTTATAAAGAAATTTTGAATAACCGTACTTTTTAAGTCTTTAAGTACCTTTTAAGTCTTCATAAGCTTTAAAAATCTATTTTTGGTGTTTCTGAGTAATATCAGTCATCCTAATACCCAACTTAAATTCAAAATTTTTCATAATACTATTTTCAACTAAAATGTTACTTTAGTGGTCTAGGAATTGTGCTGAATAAATTTTCGTCTCTAATTAATCGTTTGTGAGAATATTTAGTAGATTAAACTCATACTTACAAAAAAAATAAGCCTTTATTATAGAGATAAACCCTCCAGTTTAAAACGCCTATATTACAGTTTGAGGAAGCCAAATAAGCTCTCAGTGATGAAAAAAATCTACAAGCTAATTTCTAGATTTGTGTTAACGACATACTTCCCATAATAATAACATTTATATTACACACTCTGAACCATGAATTAGAAACCTTTGAAATTTTCATTTCAATGCGTGTTAAGGATGAACTATGCAATTTTTTTATGACGTGGGTTACACGTGGCTAGAATACTAGTATAAGTAAGGTGTAAGAGTGCTTTTACGATGAAGTAAGTAAAATGGGAAAAACGACACATCTTTTTCCTTTGAAAAAGGAGCTTATTGTTGGTGCCCGTTTAGCTGAGGCCTCGATTTAGAAGACAGCAAATCTCACTGTGTTCTCAAACGCAACCATATCAAAGGTTTTCAAAAGTTGGAATCAGAAGCCACAGTCTTTCTCTAGAAGGCGTAACTGCGGTTCGAGCACAGTTCCCAAGAGAGTGACCGGCGTCCTCTGCGACGAATTATACGGCAGAACAGGGACTCTAGTACGCTTCAAATGACACAGCTCTTCAAACAAGGCTCTTCCACACGGATTTCAGTTCGAACCATGCGCAGAGAATTTCAGAGGATAGGAATGCATTGTCGGGTGCCTGTAAGAAAACCGCTCATTTCTGCCCGATACGCAAGAATTCGTCTTCAGTGGTGTCGGGAAAGAAGACATGGAATATCTGTGGATTGGAAACGGGTGTTGTGCTCGAATGAATCACGTTACACCTTATTTTGCAATAATGGAAGACGTCGAATTTGGAGTGAATCCCATGAAGCAATGAATCCATCTTGCCTTACTCGCACTGTGTAAGGGTCTGGTAGGAATGTCGTGATATGGAGCATTTTCTGCTGGCATGGTAGTGGTGCCCTCGTGGTCCTCGAGGGTAAATAAACAGCCATGAGATACCTAGATATACTGATAGATCAAGTGCACCCTGCAATGTTGCATTTTTACCCTGTGGCGACGGATAATTCATGGATGATAATTCAACTTTACATCAAACCAGAAGTGTTTAAAATTGGTTCTCTGAACATTCGTCTGACTTCCAACACCTTCCCTGGCCACTACATAGCCCGGATATTAACTCAATAGAAAATGTGTGGGATATGGTGGAAAGACGCATCCGACAGCACTCTCCTCTTCCATTTAATTTACAAGATCTAATGAGTTGCATAACCAATGCATGGTATTCTCTACAGGTAAATGCACTCCAGAAGCATGTAGACTGGATTCCCAAACAAATCGGAGCAGTTATCCGTGTAAAAGGTGGTTCAATAAAATATTGATCTTGAGTTTTTATTTCATTGTCAAGTGTATGTATAAAAAGATAAAATATTACTTCCTCACATACAAACAATTTAAAACATATCGTAGCTTTTTAAAATTTAGGCATTGATTTACTGAATACATTTTTGTTAAAAACATTTTGTTCTCCGGTCAGAACATATCTGTAACTACGGGAATAAACTTGTGTCAATTAACTATTACTTTTTCAAACGCGGTGTTTCTGTTGCGCACGTCGTAAGGTAATTATCATTATTACTCAAAGCACCCTTGATGAGAGATTGTCATTCAGTTTAAGCTTCCTGTTAGAATTAAATAATGTCGTATTTTCATTGATGTAGTTGTATGATGATCTAATTCCTGCAATATTCTGCGTAACTGGTTTTTCGATCTTTAAGATATTATTCATTAAAATAATCTTATGATCGTTTCATATCATTAATTTCTTAAAAACTCTGTATCTTGAAACTGCTTCCTATTCTTGTTTAACTGAGGGCATTTTAAATAACACTTCGCTACACATGTAGACTTATCTATAACCGTTAAAGAATTTCAGCTTTTAGATTGTTTATTATTTCCTGTTCTCAAAAAATCATCATATAAGAAAACACATTCAATTTTTAACAAAGTTACTTCGAATTTTTACATGCTTATTTATTCCTTGGAAAATAAATTTCAAATATTCTATATTAAATCACATATTTAGAAAACAATTATCTTCGTAAATCCAGCTAAAACAAGTTGCTACTTGATAAATAATAGTACCAACAAATTCGATCGGTGCAAATTTGAATACAGCATCAGTAATGAAAATAACAGTAATTCAAAAATAAAAAATAATAAAAATGCTAAAATGACCAATAAAGTGAAAATAATAACACATAGTTAGGTATGATATAGAATTCAATGTGATGTGTTATCACTTGCAGAATATTTAGAAACTTAAACATACACTCTTCGTCACAAAAACGTTACAACCAGAAAGAGTCGGACAGAAATATTATTATTTGGAAGAAGATAGTAGACACTAATAACAATAAATGATTAATAAATGAGAGCTGTACGACAAATATTTATTACACAACATGTAAAAGTGATACAAAATGATACAACATGTATCACACGTCTTTGCAGTGAGTCATAGAGGTGCCTAACATACTCCTGAGTTAGTTCACCGCCCGCAAAGAGAACTCTGTTTTGCTGTTCTTGCAGATTCAATGACAGCGAAGGAGTCTTGATAAAACAGTTTATATCCACCCAAAGGTTTTAAATTATGGACAAATGTGGCGATGGCAAATTTCCATGACAGAACTGCAAGGCAAATTCTTGTGATGTTGCCAGTATGAGGGCGAGTGCTGTCCTGTCGGAATAGAGCATTTGGAACAGACGTTGACAAACAGCAGAGCTATTCATCCAAGGACGTAAGTAGTGTACATTTGACTGTCAAAGTTCCCTTGAGAATGACTTATGGTGAACGGGCTCATTCGAAGTTTTGCCCCATACCATGACACCCATCCTTCTGAACAAGTGAGTGACAAATAAAGTTTATTTTAATACTGATCTCATTATATCCACATACGGATTCGTTCGTCGCCTGCACCAAGATTAATGTGTGACTATCTCTAAAGATTACCCTTGCCGTTCGGTTTGGCTTTATGATGCTCTTTCGACGGAGGCATCATTGTAGTCTGTAATGACAATGTGTAGTCGCTGCTATGGTATAACAGGAGCAATCGTTAAAATTATCTATATTCTTACACTCCAGAGGCATGTAGCCATTTAATAATGGTGGACTCATAGGATGCTGGAGTGGGAATGACTGTTTGATAAATGTCAGCAATAATGGCAGATGGCGCGATTTAAGCACGCTGCACAACCCTTCAGTCTTTCCTCATTATTGTCTGTGAAGACCTTCCAAGCCTCCATATCGAGAGTACATACTTTTCTGAAAAGAATGCGAATAGAATTTTACATTAGTAACATCTACGCAACCAGTATAGTGAGCTGTATGATAAATGAACCATCTACCTTCATAAAGCACCTCGATGCGACCCTTATCAAAAGCATCAAACTATTCAAATACTGTTGAATAAATCTGAAATGTTCGGTACACTTTAAGCTGACGATTTCAATACAACACTAATCAAACTAAAAGTTAAGCACATCGGGACGGCCTTTCTTGTGGAGCAAGGTAGGGCAGAAAATCTCTTCCTTGTTGACGTCATTTACGCTCACAAGAGTGAAACTTGAATCATATGCATACCAGTGCTTCTTT